AGGACGGTGGTGCCCCCCCCACAGCCAGGTGTTAAAAAAACACGTGTGTCGTCCCCTCCCCCCCCAGCTGCTTTTTCTGCCCAAACGCGAAACCTGCTGGGGTGGAAGGGGCCTCTGGTGCCCCCAGGTTGTGATCTYGGCAGTGCCTGGTGCTGACCTCGCGCTTTGGGGCCCCGGGCGGGACGGTGTGGCGCTGCGCTCGCCCTTGCGCTCTGCCCCCGGAGCCTCTGTACGAAGGCCAGGCGGCCGGAGAGAGTCGGGCAAACGGGTTTGATTACCTGGGATCGTGTGGAGGGAACACAGTACACCCAGAGACGTCCTCGCTGGTAAAATCTAGGGTTTGTTTGCCAGGCTGTAGGGAAAAGGAGAGAGGAGAGCAAAGAAAACCCAAAACCTAACAACATAATATCTTGTAGGTAATTTCTAGGCTGCTATCTGTGTGTGTTGTTATCTTTAGATTTCCAACGTATTCTTTCAAGATTCCTAAGGATGTTTCCTGACAATCCTGTAAATGCAGCAGGGATGCTAGGTTTATATAGCAATGAGAAGCAGGTCAGGTCATAAAAAGTGGATTTTGCRTGTGTGGCGGGGGAATTATCTTCACAAAGCAATGTGTCTTACCAGAGAATATTCATAGGGATCCTAAAGCTCTCTCAAACTTGAAAATTAAGTGATAGTTACCGACAGGTAGGAACATGTGCTGCTGCTTATGTATAGAGATTTTTTGCTGTGTTTTACCCTGTCATGTCACACCTTCGTGCCTACAAAAGCCATCAGAAAAGCTTTCTTTTCCCCTTCTATTCGTTCTGCTTTTTTCTTACTGTCCCTCAGAAGAAGGGTGGCACGGCTGCTACTGGCTTTCATTTGCTCTGCTTTACACTTTTTGCCAAAGGGTGTGCAGGGCCAGAGTGGTGCTGTGGTGTTGACCTGGCAGGCAGCTCACTCCAGAGGGTCCCCATCTTTCTGYTTTTCTTCCTTAATTACCTACCCACGCTTTCTGCATCACCCACATATTTCGCCATGGTGTTGACCTTCAATATTTGTCAAATTATAAAAGAAACTTAAAATGAAGCTTATTCTGAAATCCTGCCATATACATCACAGTCCAACTATTGCAGGCTATGGTTTGTGCAGTTAATATAGTAGTAATGTGTGTTGGAGAAAGAACCACRATATGCGGTAATATTTAAATATTGTGGTAGACCCTGTCCCTAGAGCAGAACAAAATTTTTGGCAATATTTAACTCAGGAGAATGTAGCTCTGTAAGCAAACCGATAGGGATTGTKCAGCCATTCATACCTCTTAGAAGGTCAGATAACAGGAATGGGGGAAACAGGTCAGGGAAGGGTGCTAAAACCAAGGACAAATGTTTTCAGTTTAATGCAGTTTATGTCAATGAAGTGACACCGCTGTTTGTCTCTTTCAGATTACAGCAAAAGCAGCTGTCATCTTTGTTACGCTTCAGTATAATGTCACCATTCCTGCCACAGGTATGTGTCTTGCAGCAGTTTAGTTGTTAGTGTCTTTTCTCAAATGAGAGTCAGAAAAATTACTTGAAGTGAAATCCTTGAAAGCTATTTAATATGTATTCAAAGGATTTCCAGTGAAAATCTGTTTTAACAAAATAAGTTTAGTCAAAATGTTCTACTGGATTTATCGTTAGACTGAAACTCTGTCTGACTGTTACAGACAGAGTTATGACTGTTACATAAGTTCACATTCCTCCTTTTGGTTTTGGAAGTGGCAGTATTTACTGGTCTAAGGGYGGGTGTGTGTGATAATTCAGCATAATTTTATAGTCCCATTTCAGTTCCTTTGGGAAAGCTGCCAGCCTGCAATTAAGTCTTCATCTGTGTCTTTCCAGAAACAAGTTTAGGTTTTGGTGTGATAGAGTGACCTAGCTCATGATGCTAGTTTAATTTGACTGTAGTTTGTGGTCAGCAGAATGTCAGCTTCTGTCTGAAATATTTCACTTTGAGAAACAAAATTATTAGAGATTAAGCTGTATCAGCACCTAACAGTTGGATTTTTTTTTTCTTTTAGAAGAACAATCTGCAGAAACAATCTCTCTCTATCATTATGGCATCAAGGATTTGGCTACAATCTTCTTTTACATGCTTGTAGCAATAATCATACATGCTATTATTCAGGAGTATGTCCTGGATGTAAGTACGATATACTAATTTCATTATGATAATTGTCATGTTTTAACCCGATTTCATTACTATTAGAAATAAACTTTTGCATTTAAAATTTTAACTCTTAAAGCTAAAACACTGACTTTTAAATGTTTAAACTGTTTAACTGTTAAATGCTAAAGCATATAAGTAACACTGGGCTTTCCTTTTAGAAAATCAACAGGAAAATGCACTTTTCAAAAACGAAGCATAGCAAGTTCAATGAATCTGGACAACTCAGCGCCTTCTACCTTTTCTCCTGTGTTTGGGGCACAAGTATTCTTGTCTCTGTAAGTGTTCTCTTTCTTGTRCTTAAGGTGTATACGGTGTTAAAGGTGGCACTTATTTATGCTAAAGGTGTCACTTGTTCTTTTCAGCCATTTCTTGCTGAAAGATGAAAGATTCTGTTGCATTCTTCTTCATAACTGAGTAGAGAATATGAGGTCTCCCTGTTGTTTAGCATGATATGATTTGGTTTCCCATTCGAACAAATTATTAATTAAGTAAAATCTGACTTTATTGTGGCACCCCTCTTAGGCTCCTTCACAGATGTTAACAAATCACATGCAGAGTTTTGGTAGCCATGGGGATGGATGCGTGGGCAGGTAGCTAGAGGTTAATGTGACCCTACCTTCAGATGCCCTGCTCCTATCTAGAACATGAGCTTAGCCAGTGGGGCAAGGGCACGGAGACTTTCTGCTCCCAGTGAGAACGGGCTAAACCATCTCGTGTCCCTGCATGCACACATACTTTGCGAAGTGTGTCTGATTCTCTGTAAGCTAATAACTTACCACCTCTCCTCACCATTGTAATAAYTTGTTACTTAGGCTTAGTTTTCTACTGATTCTGGAAATTGAGTTTCAAAAAAGGGAAAAAAGAGATATTTTTCTGCATTTTTTTTTTCTCTTATTCATTTAAGCTTGCTGGCAGTTTAGAAGGAAGAACTTAAAACTATAGTGATGCTGAAATAGCCCTCATCTCTTAAGGGCATTGTATTCTTGAATGGTCATGTATTTTGTTTGGGTCTTCAAGCCAGTTCATCTGTTCTTTTGTAAATGGAATAGGCTTCAGCCTGCAGCTTTTACTTCTGTATTTGCACAGATATATGTTCATTATTTATGACCAAGAGGTAGAATACTGGGGGAGGATGTTGTTGTTGTTGKTTGTTTGTTTTGACTTTTTTGGTTTGCTTTTTCAGGAGAACTATATATCAGATCCTACCTCTCTGTGGAGGGACTACCCGCACACTCTGATTCCGTAAGGTCTCCTCTTTAAAGGGTTGCTGGGAATGGGGAGGGATCAGACGTTTCAAACATAAGGTTTATCACGGGCAATCTGCTTAGACTAAGTAGTCTGTGAAACTAGTCACTGATACGTTTTTGTTTGTATTGATAGAGATTTATTCACTATCAATTTGTAGCCAACAAAGTTCACTTTCTTTAGGCCATTATTTAAATATGGGTCTTTTACATGTTTTATTTCTGTTAATTATTTTTAGAGATCTTCCTTTCAAGGATAGTGTTGGCTGRCAGTAAAGATCTGTATTATGCCTTCCCTTAGAGAGCCATTTATTCTTTAGAAATGGTAGTTACATACTTTTACTAGAAAGTTTCTGAAACCTGTTGAATGTATTTATAAAAGATTTATAAATGGTTACTTGATTCTTCAGTGGTTATTTATAAAAGGTTATTCTATTCTTGCTTTATTTACAGGTTTCAAATGAAGTTTTTCTACATCTCACAGTTGGCATACTGGTTTCATGCTTTTCCAGAATTGTACTTCCAGAAAACCAAAAAAGTAAGTTGAAAATGTTACCTGGAAAAACTCCAAACAATTAAACTCTAGCAGCAGAAACAGTGTATTTCTTTTGGACTTTTGGATTAATATGTGACCTTAGATTTTCTATCTTGTTCTTGATCATAGACTTACGCTGTCTTTGAAGGATTTTTGCATGCTCATATTTCTGTAGAGAAGTACAGGGGTTTTTTTGGTTTTTTTTTTTCTTTGTTTTGAATTAAATCAGTACTTCTAATTGCACTGAAATGCCTACATAACCTGTTGTGTAACTAAAACTTGCATTTCTCATTTACTATAAGAGTTGGGAGTTGGATTTTTCCTTTGAACAACTGAGTATGAGGTTTATTTCCAGCTCTTTTTCCTTGTAATTCAGAGTCTGAATGATCTCATTTAAGTATGGTAGTGTGTCATGTGTGATACAGAATACAAGCAGTGAAGTATTTTCCAAGTCTAAGCAATATTATTCTTCAGGATTTGTTGTAAAGACGCTTTTTCTCTGCAGAAGTTCTGGCTAGTTGTGTATTGAGAGGTTTGTTTGTTTGTTTGTTTGTTTTAATACTGAGTTTTCAGCAGCCCGTTTGTGCTAAAGAGATATTCTTGGTGGGATTCTTAGTGGGATATCTTGCATTTGCTTAAAACATTTGTAGCCAGAAGACTTTCGCCTTCCTTGACTGGCCTAAAGTGTATTTTTGCATGTTCTTTCTCAGGTCCTCTTTGCATATCAAATTTCCCTTTTAAAACTCTTCTCTTGTTACTCTGCGACTCGAGTGAGTCTCTGCTGTCAGAGTTCTGCTTTATTCAAGAAAGTCTAAGGGCTACATAGTCAGAAAGCCTTACTACTCAAGAGCCTGTTGCAGGCTCAAGAGAATAATACTGAGAAGCTGTGTTTGGGGTGTGGATCAGAACCAGTGTGAGTGCTGCTGTTTTGCAGGTATCCGGAGTCTAAAACCACAGTTCAGCTGATGCTCCCAAATTCTAGTAGTGTATCTGGGCATCTACTTGGAATTTTGGCCTGTACCTTGCAGAAAAAGTGCTGAGAGTAAAAATAGTTCATTTATTTTAGCAAATAAGAGTTATTATTTCTCCAGTCACATTTTAATCTCTCCCATCGTGGCTGCTCTACCTTATTCCGTATTTTCAATAAATTTCCCGTTGTTGCTTGAGCCTCTTTGACCTTACTACTGGCATAGACGACAAGGAAAAAATGTTTAAAAAACATTACCACAGTCAGATAGGTAAAACTCAAAACCCTTGTCATGGTAGTTAGAAAAAATGAGGATCTGAACTAACTCCTCTACAGTGTGTCTAACAGAGCTTTCATTTTCCTTGGACTCCTTTAGAGTAGGTCTTTCTGTGTCCATTTTCTGTACGTATGCATTGCTAAGTGTTTTGGCAGGTGCTGGATTCAGTATTTCTGTTGACTTTGAGATAGTCTTGTACGACTTAGCACATTATCTCACAAGGTGACCTCTTTAAACTTTATTTCTTATAGCCAGGACAAATCCAAAGCCCCACGTCTGAAGTTGCTGGAATCTTTCCAGAAAGTAGGAGCTTTCTGAGCAGTTCTGAATACGCCACATATTTACTATTTCAAGACCACGGTTATTATTGTGGTTTTGTGTACTTGGGTGGTGGTTTTGGTCACAAGTGGAACCTCCTGCTTTGAGAGTGCCACGTGTCCACGTTCTAGTTCATGTCTGCTCACTGTTTGGTTTCTATAAAGTGCAGTTTTAGGCAGTGCAGCTGTCTAAAATCTACCTTGAAACATGAGCTGCAGTCTGGCATCTCTGCTGAATAACATAATTCTTTCTATTTGCCAGTAACCAGATGCCAGCATATTGGATGGCTGTGCATTTTAAAAAATAAGTGTTGGCACTTGTGAATCTTTACATCATGTTGATTCATAGATTGTTTTTTTCCCTCTGTCAAATTGACGGGATCTGAAGGACAACAGACTTCTGGAACTGCAGGTTAACTGAGGATACAGTAATACATACTAGTCAAGCATTGTAAAAGCTAGTACAAATTCCCAAAAGTCCCATCTGAGAGCTCTCCCCTTCTAAAATGCATCATTTTTATATCTTTTATATCTTGTATCTGATATCTTTATATCATACACTGTTGTTGGGGAATACAATGAATGCTACTGATAAATAAGCAAAAAGTCTGGCATAGAATTAGAAGATTTGACCTAAGTCATTAGCTATATTATGGTAGCTGAGCAGGCAGAAATATTTTCCAAAACTAGGAAATATGAAACCTTGTGTATCATGTAATTAATTTTTTCCTCTTTAATTAGGAGGATATCTTTCGCCAGATTGTTTACATTGGACTTTATCTCTTTCATATTGCTGGAGCCTATCTTCTAAAGTAAGCCAGCTCTAAACTTTTTTGTTGTTGTCTTTATTCTTACCTATCTTAACAAAATGTTTGAGTGTTTGTTTTACTTGTTTTGATAGTCTGACCCACCTTGGACTCGTTCTTCTGGTACTGCATTACTTTGTGGAATTTCTCTTCCACATATCTCGACTTTTCTACTTCAGTGATGAAAGATATCAGAAAGGGTAAGTAGTTGTTATCTTCTCATCCTTGTAATTTCTGTTATGTCTCACAAGGCTTGTGTATTTAATAGCTAGAAGCTGAAATTAGAAACAAGCTCATGTAGTGTTTGCTTAGAAGCCAGTGCTTCCCAAATTAATCTTAATATTTATGTCTATATAACATCTGTGGGTTTTTTTAACTGCCCGTAATTACTAGCAATTGTAAAATGGGAAATAAAACTGCTTATTAATAGATTAAAAGAAATTTAGAGACATGGCTCTCAGTGTAGAGGAAAGAAAGACATAGATTGCTCTTGCAGTCAATTTTGTAGAATTAGTTTCTGTTCTGATGTAATAGAAGCCAAATTCATCTGAGTTCAGCTGAAATTTGGTTTCAGGTCATACTTCCGTCTTGTAGAAAAGGACTGTGAGGCAAGGGTTTTCCTGCTCTTGCATTTCCAGTATTCATGCAAGTCAAAATGCTATAGGATTAATGCAAAATAGGTTAATTAGGTTAAGTGCTTAAATCTCAAATGCATTCTTGAATTCACATTATGAAGAGAATGAGCATTAAACATGAATACTCTGAATTTTTATTGCAAACTAATCTAGAGAATGTATTCAATTTGTGGTATTTTTCTTTGTAGGTTTTCACTGTGGGCAGTTCTTTTTGTTTTGGGAAGACTTCTCACCTTGATTCTTTCGGTCCTCACTTTTGGTTTTGGATTGGCAAGAGCAGAAGATCAGCAGCTGAATTTCAGTACTGGAAACTTCAATATCCTGGCGGTTAGGTACAACAAACTTTTTTTTAAGCATAAACTCTAAGCATGTGTTAGTACACATTAGAAACTGTGCTTTTTAATGTTAGTAATACTGAATTGCAGGATTTTTATACAACTCATGGGGTCAGCAGATAACAGCTTCTGTAAAGAAGTTGTGAGGCACAATGAAAAGGATTGAAGAATTTACAGTCTACAGTTGAGGAATTTATAATTGGTTATTCATTTTTTCCTGGAAGAACCAGAATTAATTCTTAAACACTCGAGAGGAATCTCCCTAGTAGAATAATCCTTTTAACTCAAGTGAATTCTAGATGTAAGTGCATCTTCACAAAGGAACCTTAGAACATTTCAGTGGATCTGTGTGGGTAGCCATTATGCCCAGAGTGTCTTTGATGCTGGTCRATGTTTCTCACCTCTTCCCCTGCCTTTGTTACAGCTTCCATTGCTCTCATGTGATACAGAACGTTCCTCCAGTCACTTGGTGGTCTTATGAATTAAAGCCAGAAAAGGAAGCTGTACAAAACGTTCCCAGTACCAGCATTATTCTCTAGAATCAATACTTAGAACAGCCTGTACCCTGTTTCCAACTGTAACCACCTGGTACCCCAAGAGTACCTTTGGGAAGGTGAAAGCCAGAAACACATCTAGTGCTCCTCAGTTTTGTTGGAAGGGCAGAGTCATTAACTCTCAGGGCATCTCTGTCCTTGCTGCCGTGTGCTGCACCCAGCTGCTGTGTGGGAGGTAGCTCTTGCATCTCTGTAAAACAAGGAAAGGAATGTCACTGGTGAGAGGAAAAATTAAAACAGTTTTTCTGAACTGCACAAATTTATATCATACTGAAGGAATTACTGCAATGTATTTGAGGAACCTGAGACCAAGAAGCAATTTTAAACATATAAAAATGCACGTGAAGCAAGGTGACTGTTTTCTTTCCTGTTCCTAGACAGGTTTGCTAACAAACCTTTAACTGTGTTTTGTCTCCAGAATCAGTGTGCTGGCATCCATCTGTATGGCTCAAGCGTTTATGATGTGGAAGTTCATCAATTTCCAGCTTCGCAGGTGGAGAGAACATTCTTCTTCTCAGCCTCAGTCGGTGAAAAAGAAGTTTGTAACAGCAAAAGGAAAGACGTCCAGAAGAGAAAGAGGTTTGTTTTTTATATATATATATATATATATATATATATATATACACACACACAAACATATATATATATATTTAAAACCTGTTGCCTGGACTTCTCAAAAAGAACTTAAGCTCAACTTAAGGATTTTGATAAAAGAATTCTGTTTCAGTCTTGAGAGAGATGACTAAATTACAGAAACCTTTTTTTTTTGTTTGTTTTAAAAAAAGAAGAAGAAGAATTTACAAAAACATTTATATAATTTTTTWAAAATTCTTTCTCGGTCTATTTGTTTGAGTGTATTACTGTTTCCAGGCTTAGTATGACATGGTACTTACTATGTCTACTTTTATTACTTGAGCAAAATATATATCATGATTATTCAATTAAATTGTCCATTCCCTGTTAATKAGTTGGAATTTCATAATCAATTACCTGATTTTTTTTTTTTCTTACTGTGAATTTCAGGTGCATTTCTTAAGTGCTGCTAGGCTCTGGGGCTTTAGGGTAATAGAAGCAAATAATAAGAAAGCTGACTTATATTGGACTGTTTCCACTAAAAACAGAGTTCTGATGCTCCTTTAACCTGGAATTAATAACTGCTCACTACTGTCAACTTCAAAAGCCKTTTGGATATGACTTAATGACTCCAATTTTGGCTCTTGGATAATGTTAAACCTGGCTTACTCAAGGCACATGACATGAGTAGAATACTCATTCCTCTAAGGAAAAAACTGTGTGTGCTCTATTAAAACAAACAAAAAAAGTCCTAAATATTTCTGTTCTCCAAACACTTAAACTTCCATGTAGGTGCTGCTGGATTGAATGCTTCCCATGTTTTGAAACAGAGTGCTATTTTTTTTTCTTGAGTCATTTCAAAGCTTGAACTTAAAACACATTAAAAATAATTTATCACCAACTTGTTTCTGGTATATTGATACTGAGTGTGTAAAGAAAACGTAGGTAAGGTTTGCACTGAGAGCAAGTGGTAATCATAGGTAATTGATTAATTTTTCTTTTTTTTTTTTTTCTCATTGTTTAAATCAATTTGTGCTTTAATGTCTGTCTCTAAATTCCCTCTCGACTGTTTTTAACTAACCACAACTGTGGTATTTTTTCTCCTTCACCCAAAACTAACATGTAAGGGGAAAGTTTTAGTGTTCTTCTAGTTAAGAACACTTACATTCAATTTGACTTTTGTTTGCAATTGGATGAAGTTACATTACATAAGTGATTTATTTTATCAGAGCTTCATATTCATTATATTTTGTTACTTTTTTTTTTTTTTTGGAACCAAATCTTCAAATATTCCTAAAACAGAAACTTAAGTTGCATATAAATCAATGACTCAGAAGTGTAGTATTAATTCACAGAATAATTGAGATAGGTCTGCCTTAAAGACTGTCTAGGGGAGTCTTGCAACCTAATATTTTAAATACAAGGAAAGCACTTTTAAAATTTTAAAGTTGTGTCATTTCAGATTTTTCTGCTGTGCAAATGGAGTCTGGCATTGTTTGGAATACTTRCACGTCATGCAGCCAGCCAGGGCTTCTGAAAGAGTAAAATGTACAATTCAACTGTGTTTGAAGTAGCCCTTATCTTCTGTGGCTGCCTGGATTTTGGGTACCAGAACCCAGTAAAACAYGTTACTTCTTCACAGTGTTGAGGACAAGAAAACTTAACTTTCTTAACTTTAACCTCAGACTTAACTGAAATTTTACTGCTTTAAACTGTTCTTCATCAACWGTAGGCTTCTAAAATTGAGAACAACCCAGCCTTTCTGAGAATRACAGAAGAGCTGAGGTTGGAAGGGACCTCTGGAGATCATCTAGTCCAACCCCCTGCTCCAGCAGGGACACCCAGAGCACGGGGCACAGGGCGGCATCCAGGCGGGTTTGGAAGATCTCCAGAGGAGGAGACTCCGCAGCCTGTGCCAGGGCTCTGTCACCCTCACAGGGAAGAAGTTCCTCCTCACATGGAGATGGAACTGCCTGGGTTTCAACTTACGCCCATTTCCCCTGGTCCTGTCACGGGCCATATCTCAAACCATAGAATCCAAAGACCACTTTACACAGGTTTACATTGATGATGTGGCATTTGCAAGCAAATAAAGATGGATAGAGTCCCCATATTTTTATGGGAGTAATTGGGCACATTTGCTACTTGTATTGCTTTTTTTGTTGCCTGTTTGCTTAAATAATAAGCAGCTGTTTTGTGGATTAGTCATTCTGTACTGGCAATCTGCAGTGCATCTTGAAAACATCATCCCAGCAATTTAAACACTTCTACAAAAGGTTATAACTGTTGCTTGAAGTAAGAATGATATTTTAAGTCTTTTGAGCAAAAATTTAAGCTGGAGGCATTAGAGCTGGCTCTGGGTATCTAGTCTTCAGATCCRGGGGTGCCTTTGCTCATAGTTCTGTTGTATTGCTTCATTTTTCTATCATCTTGTGTGCATTGTAACCCCATAGATGTGGTTCTTTTTGTTTGTTTTAAAGCAGACTTTTGCTATCACATCATCTCTCTACCACTTGTGCAGGTTAGAGCTGTTGAGACCTTTAAGGTGTCCTAAAAGCGGGTACCGAAATGGAGAGATGCAGCTGATAAGAGACTCTTGCTTTGTGTTCTTAGAACGGTACCCAGTTTTGTGCTTCAACTTTTCCCATGTTTGGGATTTGGGATGCTCCTCCCAAATCTGACTCCTATTTTGCTTCTGTCCATCCTACCTATGTAAATACTTGCCCCAGAACATAAAGTGAAAGACATGCATATGTAAAAGTATATGCATATATTACAAAAACCTGTCTGTACTATATGAAAGGTTTGCAAAGGTAAGTGAAGGACTGAAATATTAGCAAGAATTCAAGCAAGAAATATGTAGTCAAACAATGAAGGACTATACTTGGGAGTTAGGTTCACACAGTGTACTGTGTGGCTGCAGATTTGCAAATGASTCTTATCTGTAGGTTGAATATCTTTTTAAGAGAAAGTTTTTCTAAAATATTGCTGATGATCGTGATTTTAATTCCAGTTCTGGCTATGAAGAGTTTCCTRTCAGGCAAAGTGTCCTGTCATGTCATTTTAGCTATTTTGGTGAAGCTTCAAGTCTTGCAGTCTTGAAAAGCGTTGTTATATTATTGCATTATAGAAATAATGATGGAATTGAACAAATATATATCGGAAAAGAAGTCAATAAAAGGTTATTTGTTTAGGACCTAATTAAAAGTAGTGAAATACAAAGCATATCATTCTACTTGAAAAATACATTTTCTTTCTTTTTTTTTTTCCTCTAGAAAATGGAATAAATGGAACAGTGACCTCAAATGGAGCAGACTCGCCTCGTAGCAGGAAGGAAAAGTCCTCGTAAAACTGGGTTTTATTAAGTTAATTGACTAATGTCCCCAAAGAATCTGCTTTTTACATGGAAGGCCCTTCAGCACTAGAGATGTTACAGATTAAAGAAAATACAGTTCATGGTTTTGGATTATTGCTATTGTTTGTGAAACTTTTTTTAAAACCCATTTTGACTAAGAAGGGTTTCTCTGTCTTCAGATACTTGGGGAGGGGGGTACAACACTTTTTAAATAACATTGACACTTTTTTAGACATTTATTGTGATGAAATAACTTCACTTAATGAGGATCACTGATGCTATGTATTATTTCCCTCCAGCTTTTATAGTCTTGGTGATATATATTGTTCCACCAACATCACTTTTTTCAAAAAGTATTGCAAAATTGAAGTAAAAACAGTACAGATATTGGAGCTTTTCAGTATATTACCTTGATTCAAATTTACAGTTCAAATTGGATGTCTAAGACCAAAAAAATCTAGTTTGTAGTTATTAACTACAACCTGTGTTCCAAGACGTGCCCCGTATCATTAAAGCAGAACTGAACTGATTGGAATTGTTGCGGAGTCTTGTTGTCTGTGTTGGTTAGAAGTCTCTTGTAAGGAATAAAAGCCTTTCTGAGATAGAGCTTTAGCACTTGAAAATTAGAAGGGAGAGTGTATGTCATAGAGTTGATTTGAGTAGCACTATTAACTCCTGTCCGTGCTTTTACACTGTACATATCTCAGAATTAGTGTCCATTGGACCTATCCTGAAAACTCGTTTGTCTGATTTTAGAGGGTGGAGGTTCTTGCTGTGTGGTGTTGTGCCTGTTCCGGGGGCATGTCATGCTCCCGTGGAGAGGGAATTTGTTAGATAAATGGATCAAGTTATGACAAACATTCCTTTATTCTAACTACTTTGCTTTGTTTCACCTCTGTTAGGAAATAGTTTTGATTTCTTCTATATATATTTTTATGAAAGAAATATTTAAAAGCTACAACTTCTTAAAATTGATTTATTGTGCCCTTTGCTACGACTGGAGAAATCTTAATTTAAGGTTTTGTCCATATCTGTCTTTCATAGTTGTATTAAATGTGAAGCTTTGTCCAGTTAATTTTCCAGTTTATTATGCAGTTAATGTTTTCATGTGTACCCCTTTGTAATGGCTGTAACTCATCCCATTTTGCTTCAGAATGAGTTGAAAAGTGAATTCAGTCTTCAGAAGAAGTTGCTAAATCAGCCTTTCAAGTTAACACGCATATTGGGCTGCTTATAGAGCGAGTGGGAGTTACGAGAGCAACAAGGTGATAAAATAGTTAAAAACTGTAAGTAAAGTTGATGCCCAACAAAATATTAATTCTGCCTTCTGTATCTTCTACAGTCTGGTTCCTATGCAGAATAAACATTTCTAGTACCAAATCTTGACTGCACGTAACTCTCCCTCCGTCAGTCACTGGAGTGATTTACCACTGGGGCTGCACCCCTGGTCACGCGCTTCCAAGTGCTTTAGGTCACAGTCCTTGGGGGATTGCTTCCCGGCCCCTGACGTTATCCCAGGCTTGCACTGGGGGAAATAGGAGCTCCCTTTAAGTGGTGTGACTGTGAACTGTCGGATCGGCCCACGAAACTGGAAAACTGGAGCTCGTTGGGAGGGACCTGTTTGCATTAAATACTYGCTGCACAAAGCCACGCTTCCCGCCTGCTCCTACCAACAGACCTTCCCGGACTCCGTGCCTGGCCTTCAAGCGGCACCTTCTGCCACAAGGGGCAGTTCTTTACRGTTCTGCAGCCTGCTGCTTTGCTGCTAAAGCAGGTTGGTTGTCTGCGGTTTCTGCTCGTCTTGGTGCTCTCCAAATCTCCAGGCCCGGGCGAGCAAGTTGTGAAAGGAGCTTTGAAGGCGCTTGAGCTCCGTGAGACTTGCTGGAGTCTGAGGGTTATCGTGAGGGTTCCCCGAGGCAGCTGTTTCTCATGAACTTCACTCTTTGGCACTGTAGGCTCAAAGGGTAAATTGCAGGCTCCCTTCCAAAAGAGAATATCCGTGCCCGTCAATATTGACATTGCTCTTTGTCCCCTTTGGGCCTGGGGCCATTTTTGGCCTTTGGATTTTCCAAAAAGCACTTTTATGTCCACGATGGCTTAAGCTTCATCCTCGTCTTACAGGGGTTGTCRCTGTCTGCCTACTACTAGACAAGGTTTTTGGTTGTCTTAGAAGTTGAAAAGAGCGTTGAAGGCCAGTGTCTGTTTTTTCCTGTATCATAACTAAATATTAATAGATTGGGGTAAATTATTCTTAATTCCTGCAAAAAGATTGATTTTTTTTTTAATCTTTCTCTGTGGCGCAGACCTCCCCCACCCAYGAACTGACAAGTTTGAGACATTGTATTTCAAGTTTGCTCTTACCTGTTTTTACATTATTCTTTATTTGTCTCTAACTTTTCTTTTGGGTTAAATTCTGATTTAAATTGCTTTAATCTTTTAAAAATTCTCATTTCATACCTTACTCCATTTTTGGCTCTTTGTTTGTAATCTAGARTCCAGTAAACTGGAAGAAAAGTAGTTGTCTAATCATGTTTCCCGAATTTTGGAATGAGAAATATTAGAAATGGAAATGACTAAAGAGCTCACCACATTCCTATGTGTAATAAAAATAATTCATCCTTGGCTGCGGTAATTTATCCTGGTCGATTGCCAGGTCTCACAAAGAGAAGAGGTTTTCTTTTTCCCCGTTTACTTTGGGTTCATTCAGACTGTGGTTGGGGTTTTATTTTGTTCTGTTAAAGCGCCGCTGTCTTGTCTGAACTCTTTGGAGACACATTACTCTTTTTGTGTAACCCCATGCCCAAAGTCAGGATTATTTGGGCATCTCTGTTGACAAGAAGACTTGAACCGTGTCTGGCAGTGTTATGGTAAGCTTAAAGTAAATGAATTATGTTGGGATGTTGCATTTGGAAAAAATTGATGGTTCCTCAAAAGCATTTTGATGTTTTTTCTGAATGCTTCTTTTACTTGAAAATTGTGTTTGTGGAGAACACAATTTTGTGAAGAACACAGATTTCACCAGCATCCTAAAAAGCAGTGTAATACTCTAAGATGCAAGTAATTAGACTTCCATAAACAGGACTAAGGATCTCCCATCCTTCTAGGTGTTGTTTTGTTGTTATTTTTTAATATCCAGGTGATAGCACCTAAGGTGATCTTGGGAGGCACTAAGTTAAAGTGGGGCCAGGGAGGGGGTAACCTCGTGGCCATGAGATGTCCATAGCTGCCAGGGGGCTCTGCCCCTTCCCTTCTAGTTCSCACTAGTTCTAGCACTAGTGACTCTGGTTGCATGAGGGAGCCGGCCCTGGTTGGTTGGTTGGTTGGTTCCTTCTGGGCTAAGCCACCTGGTATCACGGCCTGGAGTACACAGGTGCTTACATTGAAATTGGAAGAAAAGGTGGGAAGAAAAATGTATGTTAGAGTGTGAGGCCTCTTTCAACTGCACTTTGTTGGCTGAAGGCTCTGCTAGCGACCATGCGTGTGTGGCCTGGGAGACGTCACTGGGGGAGCCTGGCCTTCAGCACGAGAAGGGAGCCACTCCRCTGGAAATCCTGGCGCACCAGGTTGGGTACTCGTGGATTTGGGATGGGGATAGCGGGGGAAATAATACGTGCTGTGCTGTGTGTTTGTCCGTCTCTGTTCATCATGGGTTGTCAACAAATTGGAAACTTGGGTTTCTTCTCTRGTAGGGTGTAAGAGTGCCCTACAAAATATAGGCTTTGAGGGAGGAAGAAAAAAAAAGAAAGGATAGATCTTCTGAAGAATTTGGTTTGATGGACTGACATCAGTCTTCATCTCAGTGAGTGAYAGAGATGTGGTTTCCTTTGATGGTGCCATAACTTCAAAGATGAGCATCCTGTTCATATCTGATTTTCTCACGTTGTTAGTAGTGGATCACCTTTGAATTACTAGTTTTATCTGGGTGATTTTTTTCTTTCTTTTCCTGTAGGTGGTTGTATAGAGTCTGTATGATGAATATCACCTCCCCTCAGTGCTATCTTCTTATCTCACAACCTGCGCTAGTCAGTTGTGTACCTAACGAGCCTATTTCTGTGCACATTAAGGAATTTGGAGGGCTGTTTAGAACCAGAATAGTAGTAGCGCATGCCCAAGTACGTCCAGATGAGACGAGCGAGAAGGAATGAGGCCACCAGAGCGATAGCCAGAGTGCCACCGGGGTGCGCGGGGGAGCCACCCCCTCAGGCGTTTACCCGGATTCGACGCCTCACAGAATATCACAGAATATTCAAGGTTGGAAGGGACTTCTAGAGATCATCTAGTCCAACCTTCCTGCTCAAGCAGGCACACCTACAGCATGTGGCACAGGGCAGCATCCAGGCGGGTTTTGAAGACCTCCAGAGTAGGAGACTCCACAACCTCCCTGGGCAGCCTGTGCCAGGGCTCTGTCACCCTCACAGGGAAGAAGCTCCTCCTCACCTGGAGACGGAACTTCCTGTGCTCCAGCTTGTGGCCATTACCCCTCGTCCTATCGCTGGCCCCCCATGAAGACAGCCTGTCCCCTTCCTCCCTGCATTCTCCCTTCCTGAACTTATACACATTAATCAGATCCCCTCTCAGCCTTCTCTTCTCCAGAGAAAACAGGCCCAGCTCACTCAGCCTCTCCTCGTACGAGAGATGTTCCATTCCCTTAATCACCTTGGTTGCCCTTCTCCGGACCCTCTCGAGAAGCTCCACGTCCCTCCTATACTGGGGAGCCCAGAACTACACCCAATACTCCAGGTGCGGCTTCACCAGAGCTAAGCAGAGGGGCAGGATCCCCTCCCTTGACCTGCTGGCAACACTCCTCCTGATGCAGCCAAGATCCCATTGGCCTTCTTGACCACGAGGGCACTGCTGACTCACGGTTAACTTGGTGTCAACCAGGACTCCCAGGTCCCTCTCTGTGGAGCTGCTTTCCAGCAGGTCAACCCCTAACCTGTACTGGTGCCTGGTGTTATTCCTCCCCAGGTGCAGGACCCTGCACTTGTCCTTATTGAACCTCATGAGGTTCCTCTCTGCCCAATTCTTCAGCCTGTCCAGGTCCCTCTGGATGGCAGCACAGCCCTCCGGAGTGTCGGCCACTCTACCCAGCTTGGTGTCATCTGCAAACCTGCTCAGGGTGCATTCCGTGCCCTCATCCAGGTCATTGAGGCAGCCTCCCGCTGCCTCAGCGCCCCCTTCCCGCAGCGAGAGCCTCTCCATGGGGGAAACCGCCGCTAACATCCGCGGCTGCTGGGTCCCTCGTGGCAGCGGCGGGAGAGGAGCTCGGAGCCGCGGCCCTGCTGGGCCTCGCGCTGCCTCTTGGAGAGTCCTCTCCGTGCTGACAAGGCAAACGCGACAACTCCAATTGCAGCCTTATAAAATAAAACCTGCTCCCTGGCTTTGAGTCTGAGACTCCTGCTCTTGATCTTTTTTGTTATGCCCTGTCAGTTACTTTTATTTCGGGTTTCTGCAAGTACTTTATTCAGCTCAAGGATGGCAAATCTGTGATAAGTGCGCCAGAAGTGACATTTCCTTTTACTTTAATATATTTGTGGAAGATTTTGCAGAATCAATGTGCCTAGGCTGTAGTTTTTCAGTATTCTTTTTCTTTTTTTTTTCCTCCTTATTTATTATCACTAATGTTAAAGGTCAGGTATTTTCAGGCAGCACAATGCAGCTGTCTCTACCTCCAACRTGAGGATGTTTTCCAATTTGATACACTGAAGCAGATTTTAGTAAATCCTTACTGTTTTAGCCGAAATTGGTGTTCCTGAGTGGTCTTGCTAGTCTCAAAGCTTTCCGGGTTGCAATCCGCTATTTGCCTTTCTCATTGAGGAAACTGGGCACTTATGATCCCTGAATTTTCAGACTGTACTTCTGTTGCATACAACTTAAGAAAGTTATCGAAAAATTATGGGCAAGAGCTCGATCTTTCTGTTGTCTGATGTCAGCTATAAGGTAAAATGTTGTAGACTGTATCTTGCACTGTAATCAACAGATGAAAATTCAGCCCATGGTGATGGGAGTGCTGTAATGGGATATGAATTCCCTATCTTGAGCTGCAGGCTTGGAGCCAAGCAGAACTACCTTGTGTTTTCACACAGGTGATGCCTCCTCGTTGTCTCCTGTGTCTTAGGTTCATCATTACCTTTGTTTTGTCACTCAGACTGCATGTTCTCTGTGGCGAGGGTTGTCTTGTGTGTGCGTGTGTATAAGTACCCAGGCCAGCTAGGCCTTGAGCCCAAGTCTATGGAAGCTGTGATAAGCAGTC